CTGAATGGCAGGCCCGAGGATGTCTCCTTCTCCTCCTGTTTCCCATTTATCATGAAAGGGGATGACAGTGCTCTCCTGACTAAAAGCAAATTCTTGGTCTCCTCTTGAAGTTAACAAAGCAAAAAAAAAAAAAAGAAGAAGAAGTAGCTTTTGCCCCATCCACCTATGACTTCTTCAAAATAGGAAACTTTTCCCTTCTCCCCGCCACTGGCATCTGGACCTTGACTGCCCCCTTATTTCCTGGTGGATTTTTAACCGTCCAAAAGGGTTTGTGGGGCTTGGCTTCCTTCCTCTTTCTGGCCATGAAAGCTCTTCATTCCTGTCTTAATTGCAAGGGCCTAGTCACGCGAGGCATTGGTTTCCCTGTTGGAGGAGAAACCATCCTCATTGTTCTGCTCTTTCCTTCCAAGTGCCGGCCACCCTTTCCTCAGCACCTGCTTCCTAAGGAGATGTGGGCTGATGGGAAAGAAGGGGCCAGAGCGTGTTCATTAGGACAACCAGTCTCTTTCTGAGCCCAACGGGCTCCTGGGTGCCTGAGCTCTCCTTCCCAGGGAAGAGTGGAGGGAGAGCCTATGGATCAAAGCTGCCTCCTTCTCCCAAAGAAAAAGCCTGCAATGAACCAGCCACAGCAACATTCCTGGGTGACTCGGGAAGGCAGTGGGAGAAGCTGATCTGCAGGTTGGTGGGCACCCTCTCCAGCTCTCTCCCTCTCCCACTGGTTTCATCTTTCCCCTAACTCTGAGGGAGAGGATGCCTTACTGAACCCCAAGAAAGTCTTGTCTCTGTCTTCAGGTAGACCTTTCCCAGCCCCTGAGGAGCAGCTACTCCAATAGTCAAGGATTTTGATAGTTATTCAGAGACTAGAACAAAAACTCCACAGTGGGATATGAAGAAAACAGACAGGGTAAAGGGGTGTGGAGGTACTTCCACCTAGTTTTTGCTCATTTGTAAGAACTTTAAAGCCAGGGGGGGAAGGTTACGAATTATAGACTGTAACACCTCCAACACATGTCATGTACAAGGCTGCAGTCCCCTGAAGTCCCCTGAGTTTCTTCCTACCCGGTTACATAACACACACAAATGTGCACACATCCATGCAGTCCATTGTGAGGGGCATAGGACCAATCACAAGCTACAACTTGCCTGCTTTTGGAACTTCTGCCCATCAGGCAGCTGCTGGTTCTGCGGACCATGCATTCTAAGTCACTGATCATCACACAACTAACCCCAACTTGCATCTTTGGAGCCCCCAACACATAAAGAGCAGCCTGGAGACCTGAACTCAGTAGATTCAGAGGCCCTCACTGTCTGCTACCAAGGGCACAGAACAAAGGTTACTAGGGGGCCCATGGCCAGGGTAAAGCTCCCTCTGGGAAACACATGCTTCTGTCCAGAGTTGGATGACCTCTACAGACCAGGCAGCAGCGTATCCCTGGGGCCAGTCATTAGGACGACTTTCCAAAGCAGCAGGTCACTTGTTTCCAAACCCAGGCTGGCCATCAGAAATGATAGCAAGAGTGTAAATAGCCCTAATCGGTTTGGCTCAGTGGATAGAGCGTTGGCCTGCAGACTGAAGGGTCCCAGGTTCGATTCCGGTCAAGGGCATGTACCTTGGTTTGCGGGAACATCCCCAGTAGAGGGTGTGCAGGAGGCAGTTGATCAATGTTCTCTCTCTCATTGATGTTTCTATCTCTCTATTCCTCTCCCTTCCTCTCTGTAAAAAATCAATAAAATATAGCTTTTTTTAAAAAAAAGAGTGTAAATAGGTATTTTACCTGGAAAGGGTAATTTGGCAATATTTCTTAAATTTGCAAAAGTAGGTGCCTTATAATATAGTGATTCTGTTTCTAGGAATTTAGTCTACAAATTTAGTTCACACACAGGTGAAATGACGAACCAGTTATTCACCACAATACCATCTATTAGTAAAGAGCAGGAGTAAACTAGATGTCTGCCAGAAGCTTTTTTTTTTGGTTTTGGTTTTGGTATGAAAGGGTCACAGATATAGAGTGTTAAGCTAAAATAAGTAAGGTGCAGAATAGTGGGTATGTTTTACTATTTTTTTAAATATGCTTTATTGATTTTTTTGCAGAGAGGAAGGGAGAGAGATAGAGAGTCAGAAACATCGATGGGAGAGAAACATCGATCAGCCTCCTCCTGCACATCTCCTACTGGGGATGTGCCCACAACCCAGACACATGCCCTCGACCGGAACCAAACCTGGGACCCTTCAGTCCCCAGGCCAACGCTCTATCCACTGAGCCAAACCGGCTTCGGCTGTTTTACTATTATTAGTGTAGAAAAGAAAGAACAATTACCTACTCAAAAGATTAAATTAGAAAACAGACCAAAGTAGCAAAAGGAGGAACCTTTCACCCTGGTAGCAGCATAGCCTGGGGAAAGACTAGACTGAGAATTCAGAAGGAATGCTCCCCCCGCACAACCCCCACCTCCACACACAGACAGAAGAGGAGGAAGTGGGCTGCCAGGTGCTTCAGCCTTGCCCTGTTGGCTCCTAAGGGCCTCCACTAACAGAGGCCTGAAATTCCTCTTCTCATGGTCTCCTATGGTGAACCGCCTAACCATTCCCCTAACTCAGGCACACTCATGTGGGTAGGGAAAACTTGTGTGTGTGTGTTTTAAATGTAAACATTTGTACACACTTCTTCAGAATAACAAGGTCACACCCTAAAGCAAAGACATCCTTTAAAGCTGCTTGACTTCCTGGCACCCTCCTTCCCTTCCCCAGCCAATTCTATTGTCCTGGAAAAAAAATTGCTGAATGGCATGTATTTGTTGTAGAGATTACTCTTTAAGAATCTCATGACACCCCTTTGAAATAACTGGCAACACTCTGGGGTGTTGCAAAACCCACTTGGGAGTGACCGCCTTGATGACCAGCAGGATGTCACAGCCAAGACTCAGGCCAAGTGGGGCATGACCTGGGGCAGGGGCTGGGTCTGGGTCTCTTTACCTCCACTCGCTAGGCATTTCCATGGATCCCAAGGTCTGCTTGGAGTACTGCATGGGCATGGAAGGCATTTGCTTGGGAGCCACTGACAAACCCTGCTCATGGGTGAGCTGCTGGGTCCCTGGGAGATGAAACTGGTTCTTTTTCCTCAAGGATAATTTTAGGTCCTCACTTCCCCTCCAGTCTTTCAACCTCCCAACCCCTGGCTCAGCCTCCCAGAGGGATTGCTTAAACCAGTGACTATACAGTGTTCTTTTGAAATATAGAGCGGTGCAAAAGAGACATGCTAGGGCATGGCCCTGGAGGCATTTTCCATGATATTTTTCCCCTTTTTGTCTCATTGTTTCAGGGGAAGAAGCAAGACAGCTCAAGGATCAGGTTCTGATAGGACTTCATTAAGGTGTCCTATCTTCCTGCCCTTGAACTTGAATCCAGGAGCCTATTTTCCAGTCTCATCTTCCCACACCCAATTTCAGAGGAACTGGCTTGGAGATTGGAATAGCTTGGCTAGCAGGACCAGCTCTAAGTCTGGGTGAGGTAGGGGAAGGGAAGTGGGCTTTGGGCTTCCTCCGGTGAAGGGAACCTCTGATAAGAGGTATGAAGAGACTTGGAGCTGCATTACAATACCAGGCCTCTGGTTCCATACACTTGGAGATGCAACGCGTGAATTTCTTAATTCAACCTCTTCTAGTTTTTAATTAAAAGTTCATCGCCGAAACCGGTTTGGCTCAGTGGATAGAGCGTTGGCCTGCGGACTGAAGGGTCCCGGGTTCGATTCCGGTCAAGGGCATGTACCTGGGTTGCGGGCACATCCCCAGTGGGGGATGTGCAGGAGGCGGCTGATCGATGTCTCTCTCTCATCGATGTTTCTGACTCTCTGTCTCTCTCCCTTCCTCTCTGTAAAAAATCAATAAAATATATTTAAAAAAAAAAAAGTTCATGAATAGCCCTAGCCAGTTAGCTCAGTGGATAGAGCGTCGGCCTGCAAACTAGAGGGTCCCAGGTTCGATTCATGCCAAGGGCACATGCCCAGGATGTAGGCTCGATCCCCAGCAGGGGTCGTGTAGTAGGCAGCCGGCCAATGATTCTCTGTCATCATTGATATTTCTATCTGTCTCTCCCTCTCTCTTCCTCTCTGAAATCAATAAATAAAAAAATAAAAAAAAGTTCATGAATAAATCTTCAAGGAAGTGGCGTGAACACTTTTCCATCAGGAGGGTGGTGATGGAAGATTTGTGGATAGTTGAGGGTGATGTGGATCAGCCTCAACCTCAAACCCATTCATTCACTTTTAACGTGTCTTTTCAACAGAATTTTAAGAAAAAAGGGCCCATCTAGAAAATGTCAAGGTGGAAAGGTGTGTGGAAAGGGCAATGTGTAATGGGGAAATTGGAGAAATCGAAACTCTCAGCATCCCAGGCTATGGAGGCCAAATTGAAATTCAAATGAGTGGGCAATGATAAAGACCCTGAAAAATGGTAAACGTCCCAGCAGCTGAGGGGGTGGGGGGTGAGGGAGCCAGAACAGAAAACGGGAGAGACAGGGAGGGTAAGGGAAATAGAAGGGAAAGGGGGCAAATCTCACTGAAATAGCCTCCCGGGAGAAGCGAGGATACTGGCTGCCCTCTATTACTTAACTTACAATATCTTAGAGGAGCTCCCGAGTAGCCGAGGGGCTACTGTGGACAGAAAGGGTTACCTTTCCTCTGCCACCGTAAGCGGGGAGGCCAGGAAACCAGTGCTGACCGGTGCTGTGCTGAGTGTGGAACTGGTCGTGGCAGGAGTGGGCACACCGTGGCAAAGAAGTCAGGGCCTCCGCGCTCCGGATTTGGCTAAAGGAAAAGTCGGGCTTCCACCTGTTTCCCTCCCTACCCTCCAATTCCCCTCCCGAAGCCGAGTGTTGAGACTGTTGGCCGCTGCCCCTTTAAGAGCCGCCACTCCCCCCAACCCCCAGCGGTGGCACCCAGTGTGGGTGTGTGTGTGTGGGGGGGGGGCTGAGCTTTCGCTCCCAGTCAACCAGGGAAGATGGCCCAGGCCAAGGAGATCTCTCCCACGCCCCACTGCCCCCTCCCCTGAGTCGCGTGAGCTGGGAGCCCCCTTACCCGCCCCCCCCTCTCCCCCCCGCCCCAAGCGCGACGTGGGAATGGCTCCGCGACCTGACGCGAACAGCTCTCTGGCCTCGTGGCCAGATGCCCCCACCCTGGCGCCCAATTCTGCCAACACGAGTGGGCTGTCAGGGGTGCCGTGGGCAGCGGCGTTGGCGGGGGCGCTGTTGGCGCTGGCGGTGCTGGCCACCGTGGGAGGCAACCTGTTGGTCATCGTGGCCATCGCCCGGACGCCGAGGCTCCAGACCATGACCAACGTGTTCGTGACTTCTCTGGCCGCAGCCGACCTGGTCGTGGGACTCCTGGTAGTACCGCCGGGGGCCACGTTGGCGCTGACCGGCCACCAGCCCC